TTTACAGTAGATTCATAAAAACATCAATATTCCAGCATCAGGCTTTCATCATAAAGGTTATCGACTGTAAACAACAAAGACTTTCAAAACATCAACTGACGTAGATATAGATAAATCAATTGTTTATAGTCTTCTTGATAATGGATATAGCTCATAATAACATCTATAATATGAGGTGAAGATACTTTCTTAAAATTCAGTGTCTTCAGTTCTGATGGTGGCAGGAGCATGTCCAAAGGGGTGGCCAAGGGGGCATGGGCCCCCCTAGAAATCCGACTGGCTACCCCAGGTGTCACTCCAAGAACCCTAAACAGTGATTGGTTATTTGCCCTATCAGAGGATTTAACTTTAAACCAAGTATTAGCTAATTGTTTTGCAACAGCTGCTAGTGTCTTTCTTTACATATCAATATAGCATATTTTCTTCTTTTTTTTTAAATTCAATTGTAAATAAAAACTTTGCACACCTATTTCATAAGAAAAAAGCATAGGAAAGTAATGCACTCTGTCTTTTAGACAAATTAGACTGTTTAGGAGTTTGCACATTTTTAAGTACTTTGAATTCTTTAAACATATATCTTATTTTTGCTTAATTAAGAAATGAGCTTATGTTCCCATTATCTTGTGTTATAAAGTAGATATGCTTGGTGAAGTTCGACAGGGTAAATCATTGATATTTATGTATTTGTGTGTGTTTATGCGCACATCACATTCAGGCCACACCTGCAAAAGTCAGTGCCCAATTTGGGCCACCCCAGTCTGGACACACCGCTGGATGGTGGTGAACTGAATACTGGATGGTTAAAAAAATGCTCTTCTTTTATGAACATTTCCTTTCCACTATCGCCACTAGATAGATCCCCCATTCATATGATGGACTTGCTTCAAAACCTATGCTGGAATCCATTTTAATTCCACAGTTAAAAACGGCCATTGATTTATTGTTATTGTTATAAATAATAACACACAAATTTGTTCACCGTCTGCCAGCAGGTGCACAGCCAGTCATTCCACTCATAGTGAAAACTAAGGAGGTATTTAGCTCATTCATCAATATTAAGGCTACACCTGAAGAACAATGTTTTCTGTAGCGTTGTTCTTTTTTTAACTTATGATTGCAGCTTCTTATTTGTTTGATTTAGTGCTTTTAAAAAGTTGGTAGTTTTACACACATCGCGTACAGTAGGTGACAAAACAGCAGCAGACTGAGGAAAAAGATAGGCCTGCACACTTGCTCAAATGGCACAGCAAGTTTTCATTAATCAGAATCACAACGTTTCAACCACAGGTTGTCATTCATTTAGATGGGAATATCATAATATAAAGTTTACAATAGAGTGTTATTTCAAAGTCATCTGAAATGTAATCAATCCAACATTGGCGTGGTGACACAGCTCATCAGGGAGGCCCGTGAAGGTCTCACCGTACTCTAGCTGGACCTCTCCAATGCCTACGGCTCCATACCTCACGTGCTTGTTGAGCTCACCCTTCAACGACATCATGTTCCCAGCAAAGTCACAGACCTTATTCTGGATTACTACAATAATTTCAGGCTAAGAGTCACTGCTGGGTCCACCACCACATCTGTCCTGGGCAGTAGATGGATTCTCCTAGAGAAGCTCATCACCTGGGCAAGGATGAGCTTTAACCCAGTAAAATTCAAGGTCTCTAGTGCTCAAGAGGGGAAAGTAGTGGACAGGTTCTGCTTCTCACTGTCTGGAGCCGCCATCCCATCCATCACAGAGCAGCCAGTTAAGAGTCTCGGGAAGTATTTTGACTGCAGCCTCAAAGATTCTGCATCCATCCAGAAAACCAGTAAGAGCTTGAGGACTGGCTGAGTCGGGTTGACAAATCAAGTCTGCCAGGAAGGCCTGGATTTACCAGCATTCCATCTTGCCCCGGATCCTGTGGCCTCTGCTGGTGTACACAGTATCCATAACAACAGTCGAAGCCATGGAGAGAAACATCAGCAGCTACCTGCGTAGATGGCTTGGTCTGAGCAGCTCCGTCCTCTATGGCACCAGTAACATCCTGCAACGCCCATTCAGCAGCCTCGCCGAAGAGTTCATGGTGTCCAGAACACGGGAAGTCTTGCAGTACAGGGAATCCAGGGATCCAAAGCTCTGGAGGTGGCTGAGTCACGGCTGAGGCAGAAGGCACTGGTGGGGTCCATAGCCACAGGGCATGCGGGAATTGGCTACTTCCCTGCAACCAGGGTGGACAAGGCCAAGGGCAAAGAATGACAACATCTCGTTCAGGAGGAAGTGCAGGCAGGCGTGGAGGAAGAACGAGCTAGCAGGATGTTGGGAATGGGGCAACAAGGAGCATGGACTAAATGGGAGAATGTTCTGCAACGAAAGATCACCTGGTCCAATATCTGGAAAGCAGACTTCCATCGCATCAGGTTTTTAGTCCAGGCTGTTTACGACGTCCTACCAAGTCCAGCCAACCTCCACGTCTGGGGCAAAACAGAAACACTATCCTGTCCCCAGTGTCCAGGATGGGGATCCCTGGAACACCTCCTCAACAGCTGCCCAAAAGCCCTTGGAGACGGGTGCTATCGTTGGCGCCACGACCAGGTGCTTAAGGCAGTTGCTGACAGCATAGTCACAGCCATCAACACCATCAAGGGCCACCACAAGCCAAAGACCATCAGGTTCCATAGAGCCAGAGAGAAGCCCAACACTCAACCACGGGTGAAGTCTGGCCTCCTCACCTCCGCCACTGACTGGCAACTGGAAGTGGATCTTGGCAAACAGCTGAAGTTCCCAGCCAGCATAACATCTACACGGCTCCGACCAGATATGATCATCGTGTCAGATTCCAAGAAGCAGTTGATCATTCTGGAGCTCACAGGGCCCTGGGAAGAGCGTATGGATGAGGCCCAATGAGAGGAAGTGTGCCAAGTACCAGGAGCTGGTGGACGAGAGCAGGAGGCAAGGCTGGAAAACTTGCTGTGAACCTCTGGAGGTGGCTGCGAGGACTTGCAGGGCAGTCCCTCTGCAAAGTATTCCCGGTGCTGGGCCTCACTGGGGAGGCAAAGGGGAAGGCCATCAGGTCTGCAACTGAAGCCGGTGGCTATTGATCAAGAAGGCAGATCCATGGGCAAACGCTGCGGGGACACAGGCCGGGGTCTGATCAACCCCGGTCGGTCGCCTGGGCGAGGGTGTCCGATGTTGAAAGACCGAAACACCCAATGACCCCAGGTTACATCACTGATGATGCGTCCCTGTGCATCCGCAAGATGTATCTTTCACCAACATGGGGAACATTTGGCACTAGTATTAACTGTTTTATACTTTTATATATTTATAATTACAACCTTAATAGTTGAAGACATACTTTGAGTGTTGCTTCTATAAACACAAAGATGACATTAGGGCACCAATGTAATGACATTCTGCTAGGCATACTGTATTCAAGGAATGGGTGATAAAATTTAGTTTTGATGTTTTTACTGTACATTACAGTACAAAATGCAAATAAAACACAGTAATTCCATTGCAAAAGGACAATTAAAGCATGAAATAGCTTATTAGCCTTAATAGCTTCTTTGCCTATTGAATGGAGTAGTTATGTTTTTTTAAAGTACTGTAATATTTGAACTTCAATATTAAAATATTGAATAGGAACAAAAGCAAACTTTAGTCAGTGTTTTCTTCATATAAGAAATTTGCTGAAATCAATAAAATATGTGTATCCATCTGGAAATTCTTTCCAATTCAAAGGGCAGAGAATTAAAGTTTCAGATGAGAGCAGACCCCAAATTCCTTTGGATGACAAAATCAACTAATACAATGTAAATGTTTGATGTGCTGTTTGAGGCTTGGTAGCTGTTTGCAACATTGAAGTCATGTCAATTATCAATATTTTCAATTTAACCAACATTCTATCACTGGCACAAATCTGGTATATTTTCCAAAATTCCTAGATTGTGCTTAAGCTAACCTGTAATACATGTCCATATTAGATAAATGGTTATGATTGGCATAACCTGAAAGTGGTTCTTTGGAAATCTGTCAGAAGGGGAAGTGGGCCAGACACTTCTGTCAGATAAAGAAAACATGAGGCTGCAGAGTCATCATGGTTTCCAAACTAGGGTGCAATTTGTGGATGCATCTATCATCTAAAGCCACTTCTTGCTTCTTAAAGATAAAAGATAAAGATAAACTTTATTGATCCCCCGTGGGGGAAATTTGTGCATTACAGCAGCTCCAGAAAACAGGGGACGGGAATATACTTATTAAAAATAAAAATAGAAGTTAAAAATCAACATATTTACATCATTTAAATAAAATAAAAATACAATAATGTAAAATTACACAGTAACTAAGGGATTGTTCTTAGAAAAACACACACAGTGTGTAGCATGAGGTGGTGATGTTGTTGAAGAGTCCGATTAAACAGTCTGATGGCAGATGGGATGAACGACCTGCGGTAGCGCTCTGTCTTGCAGGGTGGGTGTCTGAGTCTGCTGCTGAAGGAGCTGCTCAGGGCCCCCACAGTGTCATGCAGGGGGTGAGAGGGGTTGTCCATGACCCTTGTCCATGATCCTTGTCCATGTCCTTAAAAAGATATCAGATCGTGCTGTTGTAATCTGTTGTAGATTTTTTTAAAGTACTTATTTCACCTTAAAAGGAAATTATATACTGTACAAGCCAAAACTGTCTAAAGGAAGGCGTGTTTTGGGATATTGGGCTATTAAAATAAAAGGTAGATTATTCTATTCTACTGCCAACAAATAACATGTTAAAAACTTGACTATCACAGGCTTAATGTTGGTCAATGTGAAAAATTCAAAAAAGTTGCAGTGTGTGTTAACAAAGGTTTGCAAAATCAAATCAAAAGCAAAGGAGAAACTAATCTGCTTGACTATTTGTTTACAGTAGGTTTTAAGAGGAGAGGTCCGTCCGACTGACGTATTCTTTGACCAACCGTGTCTCAGCGTCAAGCAGCGTTTGTCCAATCACAGAAGAGACACAGAGGCCCGCCCCCTTCCCTCAAACTGCATGTCGAGAAAGAACGTCATCTGCCTCATACATTTAGCTTTTAGCCACAATTAGCTAGTCGTTCAAATCACAGATAGCCTTACATTTTTTGAAACGACTGTTTGTTCGTTAACAACCACGTAGCGGTTGTTATTTTTTTGCGCTTCCCGTGTCTACAGTGCCAAACATGTACGTAGAAGCCTTATTCCGATGCGGGGACACACTGAAAGCCGGAGCTGGTCGTGTGAAATGCAGGCTAGCCTAATCAGAGCTAGCTGACGAGCAAAAGGGGGGGCCGAGAAGCGAAAGTGGCTAAACCTTAACGAGAGATAAGCCTATCACAACACGCCCTGGGTACTTTAACAAACCTGCCAGCTGAAGCCACAAGACAAGGACCGATATAGCAAGTTCGTAAAGAGTAAGTGATGTTTTGTTACACACTCACATTAACCCGTCAACGTGTTTGACAACTGTGAGCTAACAAGGTAAGCTAGCAACACAAGTGGCCTTATGTTCAGTTTGGGGGACAAGTGACTCAGTAAACAATGTTTGTCGCTCCGATTAAATGAAAGCGTTGTTGTGTAGGAACATGTTTGGGTGATTATAATGCAAATTGTTCTGCTGATGGTGCACCAGTAATAATATGGGGTCCGGTTTTGTTCAGTGATTTGACATGTTGTTGACATGTTTTCACACGTTTCACTGCAGATTATCAATGTTAGTTCATTATAAGTATCATATATATATATATATAGCATGTAGTGGTTACAGTAGTAACATGGATGGCATTACTTGATTAACTTAATTCGTTGTACACCACAGAATCTGGGTGAATGGGTCCCTCCCTTTCATTGTATGGTTGTCCTGTGATAATGGTTCACATAATAATAATCGATATATATAAACCCCTATAGTCGTTATGAATGTCATCTACTATTGCAGTCTACATAGCAGAGTTAAAAAAAAACCCAAAACGACCTCCTTCATGTTTTGTTTTCTTACACTCTCTGTGTTGATTGTTTATGAAACACCAGTAAAGGAATGAGCTTGTTTTATTGCCTTGTTGTGGCTGCTTTATTGGGTTGTTGGTAAGTATGTGGCTGTGTGTCTGGCAGTGTTTGTGTGACAGTGTGTTCCAGAAATGGCAGCATCATCGACAGTGGCATGTTTGTGTTGGCACCTTGATGTCAAATCCTGCACTGTCCACGCTGCTTGAGCCCATTACTACTGCCAGTGTTTTTGGCCCGTCCAGACTCGAGGCGTTCATCTATTCACCTTAATCGCGTGGGATGATTGGATCACCTTAGACGCAGTTGTCAATCAGATAGATCCTTAAATGGCAGCTTGGAGTATTTCAAAGATAGGTGTCGAGTGTCCTGAGGGGTGAAGTGTGGTGTTTGAGTCTCAGAAGAGGAGGACTGAAATGAAGATGAATCTTCAGATAACACCTTTTTTTCTATTTCAAATTAAGCCAACATAAATCCCCTGATATCCCAATTTATTATAGAGCATGAAATCTGGGAAATGCAAAACTATCCATAGTTCTTGTATCGCTTAACATTTTCAGTTATACACTTTCATAAACTGAGCAGGCTTAGCAAATGGATGTTGTTTGACAGACGGATTATTATTGATTCAGGTCATAATGCACTTGAGTGGTATTCTAGCCTATACTTTAAATTTTATAAAAAAAATCTGCCTTCTTTTAGCCTTTAAAAGACAGCAGATGTGGCTTAGATTCGAGCAGGTTGATTGAGCCAAACGTTTACTTAATGCAAAATGTTAGACCCATGCAATTATATACACTTCCTATTTCAGAGAACCCACACACTAAAGAATAACATGACACATGTACTTCCTGCTCTTCGGCTGGAGTCTGGTGAAGTATCGGCACCAGCTTCCTTGACGCCACTGCGAGGAAGATGACTGAAGCTGTGTTGATCAAAGAGCCCTTGTTTTGGGGAAACTGTCTGCTTTTGATGCGACTTAAGTGATGAGTCATCAAAGAGGGGGATCTGGGATATCCCCAGCCTTTTTGTTCCACCTGTACAATGAGTAAAACAAAACAAAAAAAGCCTTTATTTTGAGGATTCAATAATATTTTTTTATGTCGACCAAAAACCAAGGCAGTGCATCAGAGCAGATCTTCAGGGTGTACAGATTTTTTACTTATTTAAATCCTGATGTTGCTAACTTATGTGGCCCCTTTCGCCCTCAACCTGTCCTGCAGAAGATATGCAGTTTTTTTAGTCAGACCACTACCAAATAAAAGCATGTAAAAGAAAGTCAACATTGGTGCTTTGGCTCAGTTAATAGAGAGGGCATCTTATGTACAGAGACTACATTTCTTGTCGCAGGCTTGACTCCCAGTCCTGGCGCTATTTTGGTGCCTGTCATGTCATCCTCCAATCTCTCTCCCCACATTTCCTGTGTCTCCAGCTTTCCTATCCTAATAACAGCTGGGGACAGCTATATTAAACTAGAAATTAGTTTTCATAGCCTAAAAAGATATCCATTCAAAATGATAACTTGCCCACAGCATTGAAGATAGCAGCTCAATTTGTTTCCAGGCCATGCTCATTTTAAGTTGACATGAGAAGTAAACTGATTATGTAGGAAAGCATGTCCTGGACTTCTTCTTCAATCTTAGCTTATTGGTAGAAATTGATCATTTTAGTTTGACGTGATGCTAACTGGTTGCTAATTTAACCAGAACTGGTTTGGATACAATCTTAGAATTCAACAAGGTATTGAGGTAAAGCCCTAAACATTGTAGTAAAGTTTGTGAACTGCTCAGTTTTTTTGGAAAATTGTATTTTGCCAATCGTGTATCAGGAATTTGGCCAACATTGTTCACTGATAAACTATTTGCCATCATACTGAATATTTTTTCGCAGAGGATATAGTGTGTCAGATCAAAAAGACAAAACAATATTCAGACTATTCAGGTCATTCCTCTTATCTGGCTGTATCATATCTGCCTGCTGAGTGCATGATGGTAGTTGGCCATTTAGTCAGTGTGCATTGATTTTTCCACTACTTTTTTTACATTGCTTGCACCAGGGGAAAACTTCAATATAAAAATGTTTCACCAGACATGAAGGCAGCTAGACAGACACATTGACACAACATGAGACAGACACATTGTATGATGCATTTTAGAGACTGCACTGTATTTAGTAAACGGCACAAGTAGCATCCATACTTAAAGCTGTATACTTTATGATTAGACAGGTGTATTTATCCTTTTGGAAACCAAATGCAAATCATTGATTGTGTAAAGTTTTATGATTCTACACAACCATGCTACATTTTGCTTTTGCTTGCGGACAAAGAAGTCCATTTAAAAATGTGTTTTATGACCAGCAAGTTACAAAGCATGCAGTACATTAACACTAATTTCATTAACGCTGTCAATAAATTCCAACATAAATATTATGGTGTGTAATGGAAGATTGGGAAATGTCTGACAACATGCATCTTTAGTTTATATGGAGTTTGCGTCCTGTCCAAAAATGTGAACTTATCATTTAGAAGACGGTCAATTTGTGTTCCTATCATTTAGGTAGAAAAGTTAACTTTTCTATGTGTTGAACAAATACAGACATAAACATTTACTGGAGGACTGTTCTTCTTGGTAGTCCAGTGTTGTGTGTTTTCTGTGTTTGATAGGTTAATCCTGTCCTGTGTGGATCCCATAAGCAGCTGACTGTTAAATTGAGTTAGCTCATTAAAGCTGTCCTGCTTGTCAGATCTCTAAAACCGGTAGACCTGTCTGTTAGCCAACTATAAACTCTTTAACAGCTCAGCCATCCACTTTATTTCACGTGTTCCATGTTAGAAAAACAGCTTTATGGCACGAGTAAATCAGAGCGAGGTCAGTTTTAACACCCAAGCGGGAACCTGAAGCATATATACATACTGTATGCACTCCATGAATGGCCACATGAACAAACCTGCAAACAAAAGGACACACAGACGCATGGCTGTGCCCTTATCTAGTCCCATGCTAAAAAGTGTAACCACCAACAACCACTGCTTCTGTTGCTAAGGAAACCACTCAACTGTCACTCCAAGCTTTGTATCCATGGAAACATCAGGCTGGGTGACATCACTCCCTGGAGTTACCAGTATGCTTATAAGTTATGCATGCAGGTATTTATTTTTTATGCGAGACCATAAGGGTGTTGCGCATATTTTAGCGCCGTTGAATGTGATTTGTTCTGAGCTATTACTGAGTGTGTATGTACTTGCAACGAAGGTGAAAGAGCAGATGATTTGGTTTGGTGATTTTTGCACATGGCTTTGATATGTGCTCTATAATGAGATGAATGTGTGTTTGTGTGAATACATTTATTTCAAGGTAATAATTCAAGTGGTTTGTGCAAGTGATGCTTCTCAGCCTTTTGATATGTGATCAGTAGCCAATTGTCCCTGTGTGTGTGTGTGTGTGTGTGTGTGTGTGTGTGTGTGTAGGCAAACACAGCAACAAAAACACACCTGTTATGCTTTTCTAAAAAATAACAAAAAATACTGAACCTGTACCACCGACTTTCTGTTGAAAGTTGGAAAGCTTTCTTTGATGATGGAGGGTTGATTGCAATGATTTATAACTTGGTAGCATTATTTTGTTTCATGTTTATTGATTGCCTTTAACCTCAAGTCATGGGTAAACAGAAATGTTTGATATTGGAAAGCTGGGCAGTTTGTATGCTATAAAAATATCCTTTTCCGTTTAACTTTTTTTGCCCATAGTACTGGTGCTACAGAAGTTTTTGTCTTGGAGCCCAAGACAAAAACTTGTAGGAACATATATAAATGTCTGTTACATCTCTAAAACCGACCACAAGTAGTGCAATTTATCATTTAAATGGTAAATGGACTTGAGCTCATATGGTGCTTTTCTAGTCTTCTGACTTCTCAAAGCGCTGAAAAGGCCATTCATGTTGCATGTCCATACACAAAATCCGAACCTTAACAAGAAACATTTTCAGATAAACTTTTTAAATTATATGACGTAAACAACATTATTTGCCATAGGACAAAAACATATTTGGGTTGGGTTGTGAAAACACACACACACACACACACACACACACACACACACACACACACACACACACACACACACACACACACACCTCTCTCCCAAAAAAAACGCATCTGTCTTTCTCTCATTGCACAGGTGTGATCATTTGAAGCACAGACCAATTTTCTTGTACCACATGGCGTGGCACACATGTCTCACTGTACGGCCTGGTTGGCCTTACCCAAGTGTGCATAAAGAGAGCTGAACATTGAGTTTGCCCACAGCTTGTTAGTAGCCTGTATTAATGTAAAAGTTTAAGTTAAAAGTGCAGTTTTCCAGGCCAAAAGGCCATTAAGCGGTGCGACAATCAATAAGACTGTGTAAGTCATCTATGGTCTTGCATAAGATAAATATATAGTCAATTAACATAGCGTTGATCCAGAATTTCTCAGTCCTGTCAAGCAGCCTGATGATGCTGTATATTCAGCTAATGCAGTTATAGACTGGGAACACATCCCCTGAATTACTCCATGGAGTTTGTTAATGCGCTCAATGGCTAGTTCTTAATGGCCAAAGAAGCTTTTAAGCTAACTCCCCAGTTATTTTTAGCACTAAATAAAGTGGCTGTGCTAGAAATGGTGAGGAATGCTCACTGTTTGGTTGAGCTTTTCTCCTTTAGCCCTATCAGGTAAAAGTAACACATGTCAGTCTTGTTAAATATCTGACTATGCGTCATTAGTTTACATGTTTTTATTGTATCTACTTCAAGTTTTCTGTTAACTTAAATACCACAAATTGCTTGAAATGACCTTTTAGTTTTAGAGAGGTATGTGGCCAAATAGGTCTAAGCCTTTCAGTATGATGACATTGAAATGGCAGAGGGTAGTAAACTATGTGGAGGCTAAACAACACGAAACAGAGATCACCTGAAATCACATTTCTCCTTATGTACTGGTATAATTGATGATCATGTCTCAAGAAAGTATTCTCCCAGCCTCTGAGTTTTACAGTGTTATTTGTACTACTTCCTGCTGCTGTCTACTTCTTTATTTATATAAATATGGTATCTGATATTTTCATGATTTCCCGTGATGATTCACATGTTTTTTGTTTTTTTTGCTGCCCCTTTGATGTAGTGTATGAATGGCCATGTGTTGCAAACCCTGCTTCTTTCAGACAAATACATTCACAATTGAACCTGAGTTTAGGTTCATCAGCCATACGGTTAAGTCAGCATGCAGGATAACAGGCCCTGCCACTTGTTCACTGGTAAATTGATTAAAGCCATAATTATTGTAATTGAATTCAACTGTGTGAAAACTTCCCCCTAAAAGAAAGACCAGGTGCCAGACCTTGCACTATCCAATAGAAATGGAGATCAGTCACACAGCTGGTAACAAAAAGGGCACAATGGTTTCAGGAAACGACCAAATCCCCACTAAAACTTATTTTACAAACAACTGTACAAAGAGTATTTGATTAATATTGATATTTTTTAAATATAGAATTTGGGCTGATCTGTAATTATAAAATGAGGAAAACAGTGAGTCAATAGAGATGTCTACCATCTATTTAACTTCACCATTTTGCAGATTAGCATTTTAATTTGTATTAATGTGTCATCAAATTGACAATTCTAGTATTGTGTTACTATACAGATGAGTTCATTGACTTGTTTTCTGATTTTGTCTTGTGTCCTCACTGTTCTCTCTAGGACAGAGCCATGGGTGCGTTCCTGGACAAACCCAAGACGGAGAAGCACAACTTACACGGCGAGGGAAATGGCCTTCGCTTCGGACTCAGCTCCATGCAGGGCTGGCGGGTGGAGATGGAGGACGCTCATACATCTGTGTTGGAACTTCCTGCTCCTGGAATGACTGACTGGTCCTTTTTCGCTGTGTACGATGGTCATGCTGGATCAAGGGTCGCCAACTACTGCTCTAAGCACCTTCTAAAACACATAATCAGTGCCAGCTTAGAGGCTGGAGCATCACAAAGCGGTTCAGATAGCTCCAACAACGACCACCCAGCCTCAGTTCCTCCTACAGTGGAGGCTGTGAAAGCTGGGATCCGGACAGGCTTCCTGAGGATTGATGAGCACATGCGTAGCTCCTCTGACCTTCGCAATGGCATGGACCGAAGTGGCTCTACAGCAGTGGGAGTCCTCCTGTCCCCGGATCATTTCTTCTTCATTAACTGTGGGGATTCCCGAGCAGTTTTATACCGCAATTCACATGTGTGCTTCTCCACACTTGACCACAAGCCTTGCAACCCTCGTGAGAGAGAGCGGATCCAGAATGCAGGCGGCTCAGTGATGATTCAGAGGGTTAACGGGTCACTGGCCGTATCCCGGGCCTTGGGGGACTACGATTACAAGTGCGTGGAAGGCAAGGGCCCAACAGAGCAGCTGGTCAGTCCAGAACCGGCTGTGTTTGAGATGGTTCGGTCCCCAGAACAGGACCAGTTTGTGGTCCTAGCATGTGATGGCATCTGGGATGTCATGTCCAACGAGGAGCTGTGCGAGTTTGTGAAATCTAGACTTGAGGTGTCTGATGACCTGGAGAGGGTCTGCAATGAAGTAGTGGACACCTGCCTGCACAAGGTGGGTACACTTTTGGTTATGAGTGTGAAGTTTTGTAAATTACTGTGACTTAGCTAATGGCTTCTGGAGATTGGAGTTTGGGGAATTTGACAGATGGTTTTAAAATGATTGTGTCGCTAAGAAGCTACTCAAGTTGCAAACTATCTATTTAAAAGATGTGCAAAAATGTCAGTGAAGAGTTTTTCCAGAGCTTTTAAAAGCTGAAAAGGAACTTGCTGTTCAAGCTTCTGTGTCCTAGAGTAAGGGTTTCTAAAATACAAGAGAAGGACAAATTCAAATCTGCATGTACAAGAATTGAAGTATGAAGTGTCAAACCCTTGCCATCTGACAGCTTGAGAGATCGCTGTTGAAATCCTGAAGGTTTCATCAGAACAGGCGATTTAGTGAGTTGGGAAAACATTTGGTATAAAATGTCTTGTTTATGTCCCATTATTGAATCTGAGCTGTCTGTTATAAATGCTGCCTTAGCTGTGTGAGTGTAAATTGCCAAATTATTTGTGCCCAGAAGTAACCTCCACTATTCCTTTCAGCACCATAATTGAGCCCTTCTCTTACATACTCTGTCTTTTGGTTCCTCTCTCCTCCCGTCCATCTCAGGGGAGTCGGGATAACATGAGTGTTGTGTTAGTGTGTTTGGCCAGCGCTCCCAAAGTGTCAGAGGAAGCCATGAGGAAAGACGCTGAACTCAACAAATACCTGGAGTCTCGAGTGGAAGGTGAGAATGGATGTGAGGAGAACGAGGATGATTGCTTAATCTATGTGCAAACGAAGTGAGATTGAGGAATATGATACCGGTAGTTGCTCATTTTATTCATCTCTCTTCCATCTCTTTTGAAAACCAGCTCTGTGGGTTAACAGTTGTATTTATAATCAAAATACACCCAATATTGTTGTTTGATGGATGTAGTAAGGATTAACATTTCTTTATCTTGGCTTCTAAAAAGCTTTTTCTTGGAGACACAGGATCTCTCTCCAGCTGAAACTCTGTATCATATCTGTATGCATGCTTTCTTCACCGACTGACCCCGGCATTCTCTATTGTCTAACCTCCAGCCAAGTTTGCTCCGGCTCACAGCAGAGGAATGACACCATCATGACCCCCGTTTCCATTTCAGCAAGCATCTCCCCTCTTTATTCCCTGTTCACCCCTCTCCTTCATATGCTCTCTGTAAACACATCTATCTCTCCCCTCCATCCCTAAAATGTTTTCTACTTTTTTGTTCTAATGGAATCACTTCACCTCCTTGTCTTTCTCTCTCTCTTTTTCGTCCTAATTTCATTTTTTCTCAAGATTATAAATATGGTGCAGATTATTGCCTCTGGGTTGGTTACTGTTCTATTGCACAAAACTAGCGCTGGTCAGGTTTCAGATTTGGGCATATCAAGAGATATATTTTCACATTTTTACACTTTATTAATGAATCTTACCACTGGTTCATACCTGGTTCTATCTTGGTTCCACAGAATGGAAAAACCTAGGTTTCATATTAAGAACTTACGTTGTTGTGTTGGCTGTTCAGCTATGTAACCACATGTGGTAATGCATGATTCATTTCAAAATCTTTTAAAGGTCTTCCAATGGTTTGCCATGCACTCCAGAACAGATTTGAATCATTTTACGTTTCATGTTAAAGCACTGTCATGTAAAAGTTTGATTATGTTTCGGCACAGTAGATGTTTGGCTTCAGGTACTGTCTAATACTGGAGGGTAGAAATAAAGTAGTTGGAGAAAGAAAGAAAGCGGGAGAGGAATGCTCTGGCTGAACATTGAACTGGCCTCATGCCACTCTCAGCTCAGTTGCAGGCCTCTTTGTGTCACGGTCTCCCCCTCTCTCTGTGTCTCAGGCACACAATCATTTCCACAAATTCACTTGTATGGTTTTCATCTTCACTTCCTTTCTCCTAATTTATCCCTGTTTTTCTCTGTCCTCTACTCTCCTTTCTCTCTCCTCTCATATCCCCAGCTGTTCTGGTGGTTCTTGGCAGCCGCCACCTCTGCTAATACTGACTCGTCTTACATATCCGTTGTTGTTTCAGAGATGTTGTCTCGGCCAGGAGAGGAGGGGTTTCCGGACCTGGTAACAGTGATGAGGAACCTTTCCACCGACAGTGGCATGCCCACCCTGCCACCAGGGGGAGGCCTGGCAAGCAAGTAAGGACAACCGTTGGTCTAAGTGATAATTAGTACCATATCCTGCAATCATAAACATCCTGCACGTTCAAGGAGTTTGGAAGACATTGGCATTACTATTTCATTTCTTATGCTCATTGGCTTATGTTAATGGTATGCTCAGCCAAGGTAATTATTGTTATGTTGTTAGAACTACCTGCCTTCCCTGGGACAAAAATGACTTTTTTCAAATTTGCAGTAGTTACAATGACAGCAAGATGTTGTTCCTTTTTTTGACAGGGAGACCTTACTGTTCCTTCTTCTTTTCACTCGCTTTCCCTCTGTTGTAGCTTCTGTTGTTTGAACTGAATAGCTCAAGAGACCAAAGGCTGTTGGTATCTGTTCTTCCCACAGACGCAGTGTTATTGAAGCAGTTTACAACCGTCTAAACCCATACAAGGAGGAAGATGGGGTGAGTATCAGTAACCAGGATGAACTCTATTTCCATATGTGATATGAAATAATCTTGAGGCTTTGTGACACATCTGGGATACAAGCAGTCTAACTTGTAACATTTGTCTTTTACACATGGGTTTCAGTGGTCTCTGAAAACCTGTTATGATATTTTGAATGATCCCGTCTGGTGGACCAGACAGCCAATTTGTGTGTAAGCTTCACTCTCCAAAACCGCAGCCGATGAAGTATTTAAAGTGACTTCAGAGATGGCTGTGAGCTCACCTCACCCTTCCAGTATGTTAAACATCTGTTTTTCTGTGCACAATGCATGATGCACACCTTCCTGTCAGCTCTCTTAATCGGTTATTCATGCATGACAACATGGCTTTATCGAAAGCCCTTCTAGTGGAACTGAGAAATGCAGGTGAAAACATTCTCTTCCACCCTTTGCATTAAAGATTTGATCAATTTACCCCCCCCTCCTCTGCCATCAATTATAAACAGTCCCACAGAGCGCCCCTACAGGCCTGGAGCACTTCCATTGAAAGGCTGGATTTGCACCGCTTGTCTCTTGCAGTTGTCTGAATATGTGTGTTTTTGACTGTTGTTTATTTTCAGCGTATTTGTTGTTAATGCAGTTGTTTGGCTTCATTCGCAGCGCGTCTCAGGCTTTGCATTTGTTTTGGACGTTTGCCTTTGCTTTTTTTGGAATAGCAGCGTTTCTGAATTGCTGCGCGTTTCTCTTAATGTGTTTGTTTCAAATAAAAGCTGAGGTCTCCTAATCTATAGGGAGTAAAGGCTGTGGCCACACTCTGAGAACAAATGTTGGAGTCATACCAGCACCTTGTTTCTTCTTCTCTATGACATAATAGCTGAAAAGCAGGAAATGGTGACACCTCTGTGGTCCCGTTGCCTTCTGTTTTTGCAGCTTATGGGTGGTTATCTCTGTGATGGTGTGTTTTGTGTTTTTAAATGATGAATCGAATGTTTCAGGAAATGGTGCTCTAAAACTACAGTCCTTAGAATCATAAGCATCATTTCCAGTGAAATTATAAAATTGTCAACTTGTTTATAAGCAGTTAAGTCTAATGAGTCCTCGTATGTCTGTGTGTCTACTATTGAGGGATTTATCAAAAGTCCTGGTGGAGGTGGAAAATGACTCAGAGAAGACGTGTGTGTTTGCTTGTTTTGGAGATTATGCCTGGAGTGACTCTGTGTTCACCGTGTAGATGTTGTCTGGGTTTGTCTGTAAGGATGCAGAGACAATGACTGCAGAGAACCTGCCCTCTGCCAACAATCACAGTCACCACCACACATTTATGGAGGCTCATACACACATGGTTGTGTGGCATTACTTTTGTAATAAGTCTTATTTTTTTTTTTTTGTAAAAAGCTACTGACTCTATCTTCTATCTAAAGGCCATGACACACAAAGGAGATTGTCGGTGAGCGGTCATCGCCCTAGTTTTTGAGATGTGTCCAGCTCCGTTGCTACCCGTCAGCCCCTGTCGGCCTTTTTTTTTTTTTCCCGACATGATGAATCGGCGTCGGCTGTCGGTGAGAGGGATCTCTCTGATTGGCAGTTCAGAGTTCCATTTATCTCCAGCTCTCGACACATGTTCGGGAAAGCCCCTTGAGCCTGCCCCTGTAGTATCCAAGCTTTCACCCATTAGTGCGGTTTTTCCTTATTTGTCGCCTCAACCTCGTCTTTCCTTTTCCGCCAAGACCAAGGGCTGACAACGCCAGAGCCATTTTCAACTTTTTGTCAGACATTATTTTTCGATTAGTAGGCTGCCTATAATACGAGTGGTGTGCGACAGCGCTGTGAAAATCGTCTTCTCGTATCATAACAGCGAGCTACCGCCGCCCCTCACGCATGCGCAGAACGTATACGTGGTGGTTGGCCTGTCAGCTGTAGTCTTTGTGGCCTGTTCTAGTGCAACCTTTTGTCCAAGACGTGAGGCGATGACACAGGCACCCTTCGTTGGCACTAGTTCTTTGCCGCCTGCTTGATGTGTCAGGGCCTTAGGATCCTTAATGAGTGCTCCTGTGAACAATACCCACATTGAATGGTTTTTATGTTGAGATATTTCTTACAAATATGTCACAATCACTCGACCCAAAAAACGTAGTGTACCTAAGCACACAAAGAGATGAGGGTTATATGGACTTGTCTAACTGTGTGTTCACCCTCTGATTAACGCAGCCCTCCTGTTTCATTTGGTAAGTGACAACATATATAACTGTGACACCCCTTTCCCATTCTTCTTCCAACCCCTCATCTATACGCACACACACAAACACACACACACACTCATTCTTACAGGCATGCGAGTGGCGACCTGCTGCACATACTTCCCCGATCAGTCCCATCAGTCTCCAGTCCAAGCTCTGATGTACCTTCTAGCATGTGGAGCTCCATTTTAAAGTTGTAAGACGTCTGTGTGCAGACATGACTCTCCAGGTCGGATGCGGATGAATGGTCATTGTCTCTGGTCCTGTCTGTCCCTCTTCTCGCTCCACACGCACACAAACACGCATGCACCAGCCCCACACGCATGCACTGCCCTGTCTTCCGGTATCTCCCCAATTGTGCACGCGAGTATACAGCGGTATGCCTTTCTGTGCGACACCCTTTAATAAGATGAAAGGGCCGTGGGTTTGATGTGTTGGTGTATTTTTGCAGAAAGAACCCATACACTGAGGTGGAAAGTGTTCCCTGGCTTAATCTGTTGTTACTGCTTTTCCCTATTGTTTTTGTTGTGTTGATCAGAAGACAACGTGGCCTTTGAAGTCAAGGTTTGGAAACAAAATCATGAAATGTTGCTGTAAAGAATGTGTTTCTAGATTTGATAAGATATGCCTTTTTTTTTTTTTGTCCTCCTTCTTTCACCTCACTTTCCCTTTTCTCATTTCCCATTCTTCTCTCCTCTTCATCATTTCTCTACTCATTCCTCCTCTTCTCTTGCCGTCTCTCCTCATGCAGAATGGAGCAGATTTGGAGTGCCACTGGTAGCTTCCCAGCACAACTGCCCGACCCAAACAGGAAAAAAAAGAAAAGAAAAAAAAACAGGACCACTTTCCACACAAGATCACATCCATAGTCACCTTTTAATTTCCTCTGGGATCTTTTTTTTTTTTTTTTTCACCCACACTGAGCGATCAATCAAAGACGAAATCCTGCTTTTAAAACAAAACAACACACCCGTTGTGGAGGACTCACAACCGGTTTCATTTGTTCTTTTTGTAGAATACAACAGGGAAATAAAAAGGAAGAACTGAAGTGATGTTCTGAGAGCAGTACTACATATACCATATAGAGATCAGAGAAGAGGCAAATGAGCACAGATTTCTATTGGCTCTTGTTTTTTTATTGCTTACTTTGTGGTGGTTGTTTTTGTGTTGGATTGACGGAGACTACTTTGAACGCTTTGGTGCTCGTCTAAGAACTGAGAGAGAGAGAGAGAGGGAGAGAGACACAACCCAACAGCTGCTCAGCAAATCATTACTAAACCAGCTACTTATGGATAAGATGCGAGACTCAAGCAGTTCGTCTGCTGCATTTTTTTTGGCATTATTTGTTTTGATTAGTGAACCTCACTGGCAACATTGGACCGCACCAGCCTCCGACTCCCACCTCTCCAGTTCAGACAGGCTTGGGGTCCAGAACATTACTGGTACTCATAAAGAGGCCCCGGAGCAAGCCTCTAAGAACTGATTTCAAACTCCTGATGGCCATCCAAAAATGCCCCGGAGTTAAACACCTCACATTCACCTGAGGCTGAACACCTGAACGAGGGGAGCACTCTCAAGAACCGAGTCCGTCTGGCAACAAAGATTCCATTTCGGCTCTTCTGTACCGAGTCCAAACTAAAACAGGATTAGGAATCCGATGGAGGCGGTTGACTCTTCTTGCACGTCCCTGCTCACTTTTCTCTCCTCCAGTCTCTCAAAGAATATTATCAAACGTTCTCATTCTTCCGCTTTGTCTCGCGCTCTGTTTGCTTTCCTTTCCGTTTCAAACACATGACAGAACAAACTCAGCTGTCATTTGTATCAACAGACATCTCCAGAGTTGTAAGCTTTTCAACCTGTTTGTTGTTTCAGAGATAGAAAAAAAAATTAGAAATGATATATTAAATTCCTATAAATATAAAGATTGATATATATTTTGAGTTGTTTCATCTTAATTCCCAGCCGTGGTGTTCGTTTGTGGCCTCATGCGATGTGGTCTGTGTGTGCATGTGTAGACAATTTAGAAAACAGAAAAAGTTGCACACAGTGTTACCACTCATCAGATTTCCAAAGACAGGGTTTTTTTTTGGTAATGGAGCTCTAGTCTCCTACTCGTCTTCTAGTCAACACTTTCAAATTCCTGCTTCTGTTCAAACTTGCCTTTTCTATTTCTTAAAGATCCTGTTTAAAGAAAAACGAAAAAAATGCCTTCTTTGTTTTGATTGAAACAACTCCATGAAAAAAAAAAGGTTAATTTTATAACATTTTTGATATATAGAAATGGCTTTCTAGAGTACCTTGGCTGTGGTACTTATTATAGATGGGTAAGAAAACAACAAGGGGAACACAAAATAGACCTCTTACAGCAGATTTAGGGGGAGGTAGGATTTCCACTGTATGGATTAAAGGAGGGACACTGTAGGACAAAAGACAAGAGTCCCAAGAGCTGTTCCTGTCCTTGATTTTTTTTTTCCCCCCACACAGCTACCTTCAAAGACTTCACCCCACAGGCACAGGACGATGAAGGCAGAGAAATCCCTGGTTTAGACTGTTCGGATTAACCAGGAGTCCATTTCATTTCTGTCAACCCATGCACTAATACCTGAAACTTCAGACACAACTATTTGTCAAAAAAACAAAAAGGCCTCCTGTATTTTATGCAACTGTGCTCATAGACGAAGTAGACACACATACTCTTTTCTGTAGATGCATTAAAATAGTATTTACAAAAATCATAACATGTACTATTGTTTCCAATCATTCACTGGTAAAGTCCTTGTGCTTTCTAAAGTGGCCGTATTGGAAGAGAAATAGCCTAACAAAGAGTTTGCTGGCTGATTTATGTTCTCATGGTACACTTGCTCTTGTTGCCATATGACAAATAGGTACTTGAATGTGTAGTTCTTTTGCAGTTGAGTTGTTTTAATGGGATGATTGACTTTTTTTTTCTCCCCCTTTGTTTTGTGGTGGAGGGAAGCGGGAGGGTTGGGGGTCTCTATAGCTGTGCATGTTTTGTGATTGAGTGGGGAGTGTATTTTGTGTGTAAGTGGGAAATGTTCTTGCTGGGCGGATGGGGATAATGAGGGCATGTTCAGTGTGGTGAAACACAAGGTTAGAGAGGGAAGGTGTGAAAAAACAATTTATTTGAAAGCCTCGGTTTATAAATCTGTTCTTTATTCTATTACAGGGATCATTTTGAATTCATTGTTTCGCAATATTTGTCCTAAAGTTGAATATAATCTGTTGTGGACTAGATTGGATTTCTGCTGGCTCTTTAACAGCATGTTGGGTTTCACCACACTGAACACAGTCCTGAAGTTTAGGTTTATGTTTCAGATATTTCAGACACTGGGTTGAGAGAGGGATAACAGGACGTTAGGAGGGAGAAATGTTTATTTTTTTTGAATGTATTTTTTTCTTCTACCATTATTCACACTGATTCCACTGCATGGACTGAGTACAAGCAGCACCTGTAGCTCTCCTCATCATGCCGTCATTTAATGATGTATAACAAGATCTTTGGGTTCCCTTTTCTTTTTTGGGAGGGGGGGGGGTGACTTTATTTTCTGTCTGAGGAAAATACTCATACATGGAAAGATCTGATAGTTTTCAATGGAAACTTTTGAGGTTTGAAAAATCCTGAATAATTTAACTCTGACTTTGAATCTGTCGAGTAAAAATAAATTGATGTTGCGTATTGACTGTGACTGCAACAGGCCAGCGAATAATTTGGAAACAGATACACAACAGTTGACATAATAAGATGACATTCCTCATGTGGGCTTTTAAGGATAGAAATCAACATGTGATCTATTTCTCCTTCTGTCCTCTCTGCTCACTCTTTTTATACAAGCTGATGTGTGATGGCAGTGATAAATTCCACAATTGTTTTTTATTTTTTTAAATTTTATTCCTGTGCTTTTTAGCTCTTTTAAAAATGCTGTATTTTGAGACCGAATGAGGTAAAGATAAGCTGATTTGAAAGTAATTTATAACCCACTCACCTTCACCTTTGACTTTTTAGGAGACTAAAGGGAGGTGAGGTTTCTGAAACACAAAGGGTATTACCATCCCTTCTTCCTGTACTAATTTCCCAGTATGCTAATGTGATGTTACAGACCATACAGTGAACATAAACGTCAATAAATGATGGATTTAAGTTGAAACTGGTTACAGTCTCAGTCTCTTTTGTTTGAGTTCCAGATGATTTGTCAGTTTGACTATTTCGGGAGCATTTATACAAGCATTATTTTGGTGTCCAAAAATGAGAAAGAGGGGCTCTGTGTAATTGATCTGTGATTATTATCCAACACTACAATTTCACCAGTGTTGGAGGAACTATTAAAGAAGAAAACTACAATGAAAATAGTTGCTAGTTTTAATAATAATATTATTATAATATAATAATAATAATAACACTGTAACAATAATTGAAAATAGCCTATAGCATATGTAGGCCTATGCAAAAAAATTCAAATAAAATGTTTTGGGTTAATTTGCAGACTTAAAACTCATGCTGTTGTATATTTAGTGTTTTGACACCCTGCCTCTTGAAACCTAGGTCTACCTGGGTAATGTTTGAGTATCTCTACTTTTACTTTAGTGTGTAGAGGGCAGGACTTCGTCTGACTTTCCCAGCCTGCACTGCAAAATGAAATGTTAATCTCCAACCATTCCAATCCGACTGCAGTTTCCCGCATTCCTCAGGTGGCCCTGCTGTGTGTGTGTGTGTGTGTGTGTGTGTGTGTGTGTGTGTGTGTGTGTGTGTGAGAGAGAATGAGAGAGAGAGAGAGAGACAGCAGTGTATGTACTCTGACCCTCTAAGACCAGTTAAATTACTGCTGGCTCTGTAAGTCGCTCGGTCTTTTTTTAAGAAGAGCTGAGCCAGCACGGCAGGTTGTTGAGGTTTTCCATATCCAGAAATCTAAATAAAATGAGTTATCAAAAAAGCACCGGTAGTTTGGAGCTGGGGGAATGCACCAGGAACCCGGGCTTTCAGGATGCGGGAAGCGGTGAGTCTACAGGGAACAACACGAACGCATTTCTGTGATACTAGAAAGATTTTTGACAAATTTCGGCTTTTCCGGGTCAATAACTCATCAGCTGTTACAAAAGCGACACTTCTTTCAATCACAGTAAGATAGACTGCGAGCAACAACCTGATTTTCCTCTAAACGAGCCGTCCTTTTAAATCGGCCCGTGTTTGTGGCTGGAATGTGCAGGGACCGTCTGCAAATTGCAACAACGAAAAAAATATTAAGTGAAAATTTGAAGTGATTTAGTTGACACTACAAACATCCAGGATGAAGTAATGAAATGTTTTTGTAGCACCTTTTTCCAGTGTTTGCAGACTGTGCTGTGAACAGACCTGAGCATAGAGGCCAATGTAAAAGGCTTGAGCTTGTGTAGCTTGTCTTCCAACCACTCAAAGTGTTTACAGTGCAGGTCATACCTATTCATTTACACATCAGTAGCCTATTAACTAATCCATTCATACATATGACCATGAAGCAGCAGGAGCAACTTGGAGTTAGGTGTCTTGCCCAAGGACACATCCAACATGTTGCTGGCAGGAGGAGTTGGGGATCGAACCCCTGACCTTCTCTGCCACTGACCACAGCTGCCCAATGTTGGCCAGCGTTGTCACGCTGGGAGGAAAGTCAGGTTGTAGCTTGCAGTCTACCTTACTTTGATTGAGATGTCGGTTTTGGCGAAAGCATTGTTGACCTGAAAAAGCTGATTCTGTGAATATCATTCTAACTTTAGTCACAAACACCGTCGCCGGAGAGAAACAGGTGTCCACTACGGTCCAGCAGGATCCGGAAGAGGAGGAGTACACACAGATCAAACCGTACGCTGGAATGCCAAAAGAGGTACTGCTGCTATACTCCTCTCAGGCCCGTTACCGAGTACCCCGGGAGATCCTGTTCTGGCTGATGGTGGCCTGCACACTGGCGCTCGTGGCGCTTACAGTCACGGTGATAGCGCTGTCGCCAGGATGTCTGAGCTGGTGGCAGCCTCCCCGGTGTACCAGGTGTACCCACGTTCCTTCAAAGACTCTGACGGAGATGGAGTCGGTGACCTCAAAGGTAGGATGTGGTTAGACCTCATATTTGATAAAGAAAAAAAAAAAATTTCCCACATCTTAATATATTTGAAAATAATTAAATATTTCGCTTCATATTTTGAAAGATAATCCCTTCAACTATGCCTGGAAGTTCAGTGAGATGCACATTTTGTAAGATAAACTGTGAAATGTTTATTCCAAAGTCTTCAGTGACTAACAGTCAATCCTTGCTACATTTCTACCATGACATATAACGCCATGCTGCAGTATCTTTATACCGTCTGACAAGTCTCGGGAATAAGTCCTGCAGGGTCTTTGTGTGTGCTGTTTCGGGTCCTGCAGGTGTTCTCGAGCAGCTGGACCACTTCCAGTACCTTAACATCAAGTCAGTCTGGATCAGTCCTTTCTACCGCTCTCCTATGAAGGACTTCGGCTATGATGTGGAGGATTTCCGCGCCATTGACCCACTTTTTGGAACCATGAAAGACTTTGAAGATCTGCTTGCTGAAATGCACAACAAAGGTGTGAATTGCAGTACAGATTTTTACGATTCGTGGTGGGAGCCATGTTTTTATTTAATTTGATGTCTTTTACTCCTCTGAATCTCTCTGTTCTGCCAGGTTTGAAGCTGATCATGGATTTCATTCCTAATCACACCAGTGACCGTCACCGCTGGTTCAACCTGAGCCGGACCAGAGATCCTCACTACAGCGATTACTACGTCTGGGCCGACTGTAATACATCTGCACCACCTAATAACTGGGTTGGTGTTTGAACTGGTATTCTCTACCTTTCATCGCAGAGGTAGTTTCTCATTGTCTAAACTTCTCCTTGGTTTCCATCATCTTTTTCGCTCAGGTGAGTATTTTTGGGAACTCATCATGGACTTACGATGAAGTCCGAGGACAATGCTACTTGCACCAATTCCTCAAGGAGCAACCAGACCTAAACTTCAGGAACCCAGATGTTCGCAGAGAGATGATAGTAAGGTTACATGACCACAAACACGATTCATTTGCATTATCCACACTCTGTTTATTATCAGATCACAAATTAACTCGGGCAAAACCCTACACACATTACAAAGTATAACTAATTAGTCTCTTCAATTACAACAGTACTATAACAATTCTTCTTTTACCAAGGATATTATTCACTTCTGGCTGGAGAAGGGGGTCGATGGCTTTCGGATGGATGCAGTGAAACACATCCTGGAGGCTGCACATTTTAGGGACGAACCTCAGGTGGACCCAAAAAAACCTCCAGTGAGTGTTACCCCTGCAGTACACATGTCATGACATCCCACCTCACTGTGTATTTTGTGCTTTGTTGCCCCACACATTGACTTGACATGGCAGCCACAAATGGTAAGGTCTGCCTGATCTGTTTGAAATGGATCTGCAATAAATGGCTGAGCATGTATGACCAACGCATTCAAAGTCATGTGAGGCAAAGCTTCAAGCTCAGTCAATGATATCATCAGTGCCTGAAAACTTCTTTTCATCTGTAGTGACCATTTTGTATAAATCGACCTCGGGAACATTAGTTAATCCAAAGAAAATGAGGAGACAACTATTTAGTAGTTGAATAATTTTTTCAGCCATTTCAAGCAAAATGTCTTGAACTTGGGTATTTGTTGACTTCTTTTGGTCATTATTATATTTTATTGACTGGTTGGATTTTGGACAAAAGAAGAAACTGTTGGAGGGGTACAGTTTTATGAGGGAGACAGTCACCACCACTTAGTGACACTGCGCTAAAAGACCCTAACCCTTTGAATCAACATCAATAGTGTTTTTATTTTTATTTTATTTAAATATTCAAGACTATCTTTCTGATTGAGTAATTAGTGTGAATAATTAGAACAATTTCATATAATTGTCTCATCTGTTAGAAAGGTTTCATTTTACATTCTGTTTCCGTTTGCTCTGGTTGCACAAACAACATTTGTTAGAGCTCCAATGAGCTTTCTTCACATCTCTTCTTTCTCTGAGCTCAGCAGATCAACGTTCACATATGTTAAGAGTCTCTGATGGTTACACAAACATTATCATCCGCTGAGAGGGAGAGATTGCAAAGCACACATAAATCATTTATCCCTAGGCTCTAACATCAAGTTCATCAAGCGCCCTTCTCATGAAAATGAAATCTCTAGGGTTACAAAGGTGTTTGAACACAATAAGAGTCACTGTCAGGCATCACACATTGACTTTTATGTGTTTATGAACAACTCTGCTGTAGCCTGTGAAATGATTCAGCCAATCACGAGTGAGCAGCTATCTGTGTATCTGTGTTATCATTATTGCTTTAGTGGATTAGTGTGGGTTATAGAACAACGAAAAGAACAACTTTACTAGAAGTTGGCTGGGTGGTTTACTCATGTGGCTGCATGTCAGCTCTGTGGTTAGTGTTTCAGCCTTAGTAAATTCATTCATGGCTTTGTGAAGCCTTTGTATTTTATCTGTGTTTAAGTTACTCCCTCACAAAAACAAATACACTAAGGATTTAAGGAGTATCATGTCAATGTTCAGTGACACAGCATGTTTCATTTAACTTGCCTTACACTGTACTTTGTGGTCCCATAAGGGCCCTTTCACATTAATTTGCCTGGAGATATAATTTGGAAAGACTAACTTTTCTACATGTCCCCTTTTTTGTATTGGGTCAAATTGGTACCAACGCTATTAAAGGGGACACATTATGAAAAATTCACTTTAACATATATTGGTGTAACCTGAGTGTCTACCGACCCACAAAATATGAAATAAACTCGTCCAGTCCTTTTGTTTGTGGTCTGCGTAAGTCTTACAACACAGAGAAAAGGGCTCCGTTTCAAATTGCTCAACTTGTGATGTCACACGTTGGATTCTGGTAAAGAAAGCCCCTCCCCTGATATCTCCACCCATGGACTCTACCCGCAGCCTAGAACAACATTTTTATTCTTGCTTCAGAGGAGTGATGTGTACTGGGAAAACTCAGAGGGGGCTCATCTCAGTTAAAGAGACACACACACACCAAAACAGAGCGTTCTGAGAGCGTTGGTTTATACAGGGTCACAAACCTCCTCCGGTGCTTGATTCATGTTATATTTTGACCAAAGCAAAGCACAGATGTTTCATTTAGACCACAGGGGACTGTTTGAAAAGGTGGAAAATGGGTTTAATCCTCTTTAATGTTACAATAACCCTAGAAGAACACTTTGATTTATTATTATTACATGTCCTCCACTTTCATTGTATCTGGATTGCACACATTTCCTCACTACAGGGCCGTTGACTTCACCCTGTGCTTTGGCCTGACAAAGAAACGCATTAACATCCAAGCTCCCTTGAACCCCAACTTGCAGAGAAGAAAACAGTTGCACTTTCTTTATCCAATATAATGAATGATCTCCGGCAGGAAGCTTTATTTTGAGGGAGCAAATACAAGCCTGCTTTTGACAACTCACTTTAGAACATTCATGAAATACTAGCTCCATGACATCATTTGTATACTCCTTAAAATCCAGGAGTTAGTCACTACAGAGTGGGACCTCTACCATGACTACACCACCAGTCAGCTCGGCCTGCATGACCTGCTGAGGGAGTGGAGGGCTGATATGGACACCTACAGCCGGGAGCCTGGCAGATACAGGTTTGACCAAGTCTCGTTTTGAATTACATAGAATTGTGATTTAAACTTGTTTGACTGCTGGATACAAATTAAAATTGTTGTATTGTACAAATTGTTTTTGAGTTTTTCTTTAATTAAATGCTTGGCTTACACGACTTTGATGTAATTTGGCTGAATGGAAGCTGATAGAGAATCATTTTCACATACGAGTCTAGGATGTTGAAAATGTATGGCTCAGGATGAGTTTCCATTTTTTCATACACAAATTATTTTTTTTAAACTCCGCTCCAGGTTCATGGTGTCTGAATCATACGATTATCACGAGGTGGACAAGACCATGATGTACTACGGCACCCCACAGGTGAAAGAAAGTGACTTCCCATTTAACTTTTACCTGCTGGACCTGCCTCAGAACACCAGCGGCCTGTGGGCTCAACATCTGGTCCACCTGTGGATGAGCAACATGCCCAAGGGAAAATGGCCCAACTGGGTGGTGAGTGACCACAGTCAAAGAAGTTTTTTAAGCAACTTTTTCTCAAGACTCATGTATGTTGATAACCCTGATTATCCCCTGATCACATCTTTCCCATTAGACGTGGAAATCAAACCACCAAATTAGGGCTCTATTTTGTGTTATTAATCAAAAAACTCTGTACTGCTTGGTCAGTCTTGTGTGATGAGACATTGTTTCTCCATTATTCTTTTCAGTTGTCCTTTACAACCACTGGGAATATTATGTATCAGACACTCTGCTTTACGACCAAACATCATTAACTCTCATTACTTTAAATGATGAATCTTAATATTTGGAGATTGTGGTATTTCACAAAACTAGCGTTGACCCGTTATATCATCTAAATTAAAGCAGTAACATCAACGTCTGATAAAGTAGATAAAGAAGCTATTTTGTACCTGAAGGTTCCTCAGTCACAAATTTTTTTTCAATTGCAATTTATTAGGTGCAAGGATTCACCTTTTGATGCAGACATCTGCACCAAACAGACAAATAAGTAAATATTTAGGCTTGACCTTTCTTCTGGGATAGCTTACGTTCTTTTTCATAGAGAGGTGTTTGATGTATCAACTTCACTGACCTCTCCATGAAAGAGTATGACAGCTTGTAGCAAGATATTCCAAACAGCTCAATGATTGTTTCATTCAAATGTACTCCTCTATGACACCCAAAAGCTCAACTTCATACACCTCAGCTAGCCACTCATTTTATCAATCTTTTCTATCCCTGACTTTTTCCTGATCCATTTCACGTTGTCCTCTTGTATGCGACTTATTTCACTCATGCCTCCACATGCCTTCATATTTTTCTCACCTCCACGGTTATCAGGTTGGGAACCACGACAGGCCTCGAATTGCCTCTAGTGCTGGTCAGAACTATATCCGTGTCATCAACATGCTGCTGCTGACCCTTCCAGGCACACCCACCACATACTACGGCGAGGAGATCGGCATGGAGAACATTAATGTCACCGACAGTCAGATACAGGACCCTGCTGGAAAATACAATTCAGTCAGTACCGAAGCAAGCATTCAAGTACTCACTATAAAACCATTTCAAAGTGGAGCAGAAGTTTGAGAAATCAAGAAAGACAGAAATCAAGCTCAAATCTTGTACTCTCAGTTTCAAATGTAACTGTTTAAGTACACTTTTTTTTACCCTTTAAATTTCTCAACCTCTTGTCCTGGATTTGGCTGCAAACAGCAGGTAGAGCAGGTACATTAACAGTGACTTATTTAAGAGTACATCATTTGTAAGGCAAAAAGAGTGACAAAAACAAATCATGTTGAACATGTCTTTATATCACAATATGCAGCCAAAAAGGCAACAGTGTTAAATACCTGTCATTTGACAAAAACAAACAATGAACCATCATAAAGGTAGAAATTATTGAAGGTTTTTTGTATTTTAAACCTGACATAGAGTACCTAAATTTGTCTGTATTCATTAGTAGCCAAACTGCTCATTGTCCGAAGAAGCAAAAGTGACATCATTATTCCTGTCCTTTCACTGCAGAGTCTGAGTCGCGACCCTCAGCGGTCTCCGATGCAGTGGAGTAATGACACAAACGCAGGCTTTAACAACAAAGCCAACGTCACCTGGTTACCTGTGCATCCTGACTACAGAACTGTCAACGTGGAGGTACGGTGCAGAACTCTTTGGAATCATCTGGCCACTTCAACGTCTTTCCAGAGCTTGCTCAATCTTATTTTATTGAATGTTTTCCTTTCCCAATCGATCTCCTCTAGGTTCAGAAGAAAGATGAAGGCTCTGTTCTGGCTCAGTACCGTTTCCTGAACACACTGCGTCAGTCAGAGCTCCCACTTCACCGCGGTTGGTTCTGCTACGTCCACACTGATGCCAATGTCTTCTCTTACATCAGAGAGCTGGACGGGCTTGATCAAGCTTTCCTTATTGTGCTTAACTTTGGTAAAGAATCAGTGACCACAGATCTCTCCTCTGTTCATGAGCTGCCAGACCAGCTGGAGGTGCTCATGAGCACTAACAAAGCAAATAATGGCAAGGTGTTGCGAAAGTCTCACATCCTGACGGAAGCAGGGGTCGGTCTGGTGATTAAGTACTCCACTCACACTCGGTTCAATCCCAACCACTCTGGAGAGTGCTACATCTCAGAGAAGGCCTGCTATCTGAGGGTCATTGATATACTTTATAAATGCTAAAATGAGTGAACAATGACAATAAGAGTTACAGTTTTAAGTAATTAAGGGTCTTCTTTAGTATCTCCTCTGTAAGGGATTTATATCTCATAAAAGACCACTGCATACAATGACAGTGATTGTTGTCTTCTTTTCCACTCATACTGGGCATCATCTAGTAATCCTCCTATAACCTTGCTATCTCCTTCTCTTGCTTGGAAGTCGAGGTGGCTCCAGTCTCAGCTCTGTGTATAGAAATGCAAGCTTGAGTGCCTCCTGTGTTGGAGAAAAAACACAGAGGGCATATTTGTCAGTCTGCACCTTTCAACTCAGCCAACAAAAAGCATGTGATTGTTCTTAATATGTGTAAAAGGTTTGGGTTGTATTAAAAATACTTATATCAACATTATATCAACAAACTTATATCAACATTATGCCTACAGTATTAGTGCTGTTTGAAGAGATTAAGAACAGGTCTGATTTAGCAGCTGATGGTTATGTCAACAGCAAATTAAAGACATTTTCTTGGCTGGGAATTCCAATCGCCTTGCTGTATTTCAGCGTCTCCAATTTAGAAAATCAGATGAAACCTGCGTTATACCTGACTAGAAAACTCTTCGATTGGATTAAATTTATATTTATCATTTAGGGGTTGATAACTGTCAATAGGGAAAATTACTTATTGACAGAAATCAATCAAACTGAGCTAATTCAGTTTTATTCACATCATATATTTGTGGGTTTATTTGAAAGTAAACATTCAATTATTTGGCTTTAAACATAAAAACAATTGAAATCCCTTGTATCACAGTGAATCACCTCCTCCAGCATTAGTTCAAAGTCTTCTGGTCCGACGTGGTTTGACCCATGTTGAATATTCAGACCTACATTTGGCACTGGTTCAAATTCTAAAAGAAAGATGAAGACAGACACAAAGGTCAGAGACAGATTCCTCTTATCCCTTCCTTATGCCCAGCGGCCCCAGTTCTTCCCATTTATTGTGACTGAGTCTTAACTCTCCTTTTATTCATTTGTTCTCCCATCTGATATTACTCTTCTCCTCAAACCCCTATATTTTATCCATCACACACCCCCCCCCCCCCCCCAACCCCCGTCTCTGTGGTGTGGGCTGTTTCACACGTGCGGTCTTGACCTTGACAGCTCCCAGTCTGTGGCGTCTAATCTCTTACGCTGATACACTATCTTTTTACCATGCTAATGGGCCTGCCCTGCCGCCTGCATGCGTCTATGCCATCATTACTTCATCAAAGACTCCTGAGTACAGAGAGAGACAGATTAGGGAGACACATACACACATACACAGACACTTAAGCTTCTTGGTGCATGTGTGCTTGAACAACAGGGAAAGAGAGCGATAATGTGTACTGAGAGAGAGAGAGAAGAAGAGACAGAGAGAGCAAAGAGAGAGAGAGAGAGAGGGAGGTGTAAAGAGGAGTAGCACCAATGCAGTGAAGACAGATTATAAGTGAGAGGGAGAAAGAGAAAGTCTAAGGGGAAATGAGAGCAATTAGCTGACACACACACACACACGCACGCGCACATGCACACACACACGCACACACACGCACGCACACGCACACGCACACGCACACGCACACACACACATACACACATACACACACACACAAGGTGACCTAGGCCATGACTTGGTCATGAACTTATAATACTATTACCAAACTCCCCAGACAAACAGAATTGAGTTTCTTACTGCTCTCTCTTCAGACATGCACACTGACACTACTACTGGGAGCTGACCATGAACTATTTCATCCTTGATGATATGAATATTACACCTCAAACAACGTTGAACAAGTTGAAAGCCCATGCTGGAATGCACACACGATGGCATCAAGTGATGAACTAGCAGAGGTAGCATGAGTGGGAGTGTATGTGCAGATGTACCTGACTTTGGCTCCTTGGAAAAATGTGTTTTAATGACATTTCTTATCCGCTCGGTGTATTTGAGAACACCCGCCAGAGGGACCCTGGCATCAGCACTGTAGGCCGTCAGCAGAACAGATGGGTAGCTCTAGCTCACACAATGAGAAATACACAAACACACAGACAGTAAGTCCTCAGTAGTTTCTCATTTTTATACTTAGCAAAAGTTCTTTAAGCATTCCTCATTACATAAAAAGGCAAACATTCAAAGAACTTGGAATACAGAAAAGGGGCAATTTTAGTGAACGTAGTAAAATATGAGAAAAACAACATTTTCCTTCAGTTATATTTTCAAAGTCTTCATTGAACATACCTGAGGAGTAATGTTGTGAAGGGGACAGTAGGAGGAGATGGTGAGTCTGTGCTTTGGGTTTCCAACTGGGTCCCCCCATTCTTCTCTATCCTCCAGAGTCAGAGGCAAGCTGGGATCTTCCATAGTTCCCAACACATCCAGGAAAGGAGCCTTGACACATAGAGAAAACAAATATGGCACCATGGGTTGTTTGTTTGTGTGGGTTTAAAGTGTAATAAGGAGGCTCTGTGGTGTAATGACTACAGAACCTGACTTGTATTTTAAGGTTCCATATTTGCAAATAGCAGCTCTGTTAAAGTTCTCTTAAGGAACACACAGAAGATGTCCCCAGTATTGTTAATCTTTAGACAAAGAGAAACTCAAAAACCTACAGGACGCAAGACAAGACATACACACACACACACACATATCTCAAAAAATGTGCTATCTTACCTGCAATGTGACAGCCCGCATCATTTGTGGGTGTCTGTTGCACAGCGCTCCCACTGGCACAGCCCCAGCACTGCAGGCTGTGAGGGCAGTGAGTGAGGGAGAGGACACTCCTAAAGAGAAAAGGTTATGGAGACAGGCTTCAAGGTCCTCCACTGCTCTCGGCTTACCCTCGACACAAGCTTGTCTGTGCCAGGAAAGACCCCGCTCTCCTCCACCTCTGGAAGATGTATTAGCATACAAAAACACAGATTATTTCAACACAAACAACAGTTTGAACTCAGGAGTTAATGATCCGTAATATACCCCTCCATCAGTATAATCACCAAATAACCTGCTGAGCCACAAGGGTGAATTTTAGGGCTGCTGTGGAGGTGATATGTTACCTGACATGGCAGAAGGCCAGAGCCCATCCTTGCTCTAGCAGCAGGCGTTTCTCTGGGCAGAACTCCATGTTGAGATCTCTGCCATAAGCTCCATATACATGGACCAGTAATGGAGCCTTTCTAGAAGCCTGCACATGTGCTGAATACATCAGTGTCACTGGCACTGAGGTACCATCCTGCAGAGAAGAGGACAGGAGAATGATAGATGTTACATGTAAAAAAAAAGAAGATGTATATATGAGGATATGTGTGTGATATGTGCTTGACTATTACTATTAATACGAGAACTATTAATGTCTTCATTAGACAATAGTGTAGCCTTAAAACACAATACTTTCTTGAATACTGATTGAGTTTCAGTTTGTGTGCATGAGTCTCATATGTTCTCACCTGGCTGCGGGCCTCTAAGCGTGTGGTGGTGTAATTATCTTGGTTCTCTGGGGAGGACCCATTCTCAGTGCCAGATAACAGTAACCCATCCTCCACGTGTAGACCGTAGGGCACAGGGGGGCAGACTGGTGATGAAATCAAGAACTCTAACACACCACGTGGGTCTGCTATGCTTGGTTTCTTCGTTGTGATGGCACAGGCCCAAGAGGGGAGCTTGGTAGTGTTGAAATAGAAGTTTGAAGACACATTTCTGTAAGTAAGATCTGTATTGTTGTCCATGAGAAATATGTAGTGGCAAATTAAAACATATCTCTGGAATTATAATGATGTAGCTCAAGAAATATAAAGAGACATAATACTTATAAATGGGAAGAGATGCAAAGACATAAAGGTTTTCCGTCACACTGACCTCTACAGTGTATGCTTCCTTGGGATGGTTTAATGGGACAGCAGTCAGGACAAATTCACCGGCTGATGTTCTTACAGCTAACACACAGTGGTCTCCCACTACATCCATGTCTTTGATAACAGTTCCCGGTTCAGGGGCAAACAAAGGCACCCAGGAGTCCATGGAGGGTTGAGATAGAGGAGCCTGCATCACCTAATGAGAACGAAGAAGAATAAATCTCCTCAGTAGAGAAAACAATAAATGTCTTTCAAAATTAAAACATTTAATATTTATTTTTATCTGCAGGGTTGTCTTGTTCCAAAAGAGACAATCTCGGTGATACCAAAACAGAAACAAGTTGCTGACAGTTACTTGTTTGATAGGACAAATTAAAAGATACCAAAATAGACAAAACTATTTGAACCATTTGAAATGTTGCACGTCTTACAATATGTCAAGAGTATATGTGTAATAATATCAGTAGTAGTATTGTGTCTGGAATGTACAAAGTTATGTGTATACATGTGTCATACAGTGTATAAAAAGCCCCATTTGAATCAGCATTATTCACAATGTTTAGAGACAGCAATGTTGCAACATGTTGGCAGTATTCATTTTTTAGGGGGGTAAAAACTTTACCTGGTATTCCTGTCCACGGCCTGTATTAGCCAGTATAATCAGCCGCCTGCTCCAGTGCTCCGCGTGGTACAGGAGGTTGAGCTGGCGTGACTGAACCAAAAACGGCTCTAAATGTGTTGTATTTGTATCAATTAGCAGCACCTCTGAGCTGGTCCTGCTGTTGCAGTTGATGCTCAAAACCTCACGGTCTCTGGAAAGGGCAACCTCCACAAACACACTGTGAAGATGTTGGTTAATTAAGAGATTGCTTTGGCGGCAGAGACATCCTACATATCGCATTGTTACACTCACTCAGGATGAGTTTCTTCATACACAGATGTTATCCTGCTTCCACTAGAGGTCAGGTCCAGACGAAACACTCGGCTGCAGCGTAGACCCTCAAGAATTGTGTAAAATAGGACCTGGTCTGTTGCCCATTCTTCACCCATGCAGACAAGGACACAAAATAAAAAATCCTGTTAGCTTAGCCAGTGCACTATTGGTGCTTAAATATGTTTAATAAGCGTCCACACTATGTACAACATACCAAAGGTAAAGACTTTGTCCAATGTTAACAAAACATGCGGGGGATCCAAAGGAGAAGAATTACTCCTTCCAAGACTCACAACTACACACCTGTTTTTTTTTTTTAAAAGACAATCATCCTTTTATTAAATCAGTAACAAATACAGTTTAAAACTCAACTTTTTAAGAAATATACCTGCTGCACAAAAGATTATTTTTGTGTGTTTTAATTTTGTTCTATGGGTTTCACCTGATCCATTCTCTGTCATTTGCTTTAAGTGTGGCAGCAAGATGCTTTTCCTGTGGGGACAGACGTATTCTCTGGACGGTCCACTCCACCCACTTCTTCCTCTTTTCATTACCCGGACTCGTCTTTTCCTCCTGTACAGAGACATGTCCTAGATTCAGCACCTGCTCTGGCTTACCTACATTCACAGAGAGAAAATGAAGCGATTGTCAAAGTGGGAAGGCTACTAATGTATCTCCTGTATGTATGGACCTTATGGATCAAATCAAAGGGGTTGATGCAGATGTGAGAACAGAGTCATATAAGGAACTCATACTGCAGGTTAACATCTGGTTTTTCTCCTGTCCTGAATAAAACGTTTTTGTTTTATTCAGTTCACTTGAAAGCAATAACATCTGAGGTACCTGTTCTCAACTTTCTAAATTGTTAACATCATGTCATATTTAGGTGTTCTGCATACTTCTTCTGTTGTCCATCCTGTAGATGCCATCACCTTCAACGAAATACACGTGGTTATGTCCGCAGACCTGTTTCAAGAGAAATTAAAGTTACCAGAAACATTTTTTGGGGGATTTTCACAAATGTAGGACACCATATGTTCCTCAGGAGTCAATGTTGGTTTCCTTAATATATGCCATATCCAAAGCAGAGACGCCTTACCACTGAGTCGACAGGTATGTTTGAAAACCTGCGGTATGCTGCCTTCAGTCTCCTTTTAAAATACCGTTGCAGGTCCTTGTACCTCTCCAGTCCAGCGCAGGGATTATCAACTGAGTTTGAAGCTTCCTGAAATTACATTCACTTTATAAACCATGGAAAGAATTCTTTAACATTTGTAAGACTCACTGAGGAACACACTGAACCTACATAAGAGGAGTTAGTAAAACATTCAATACACTAGTATAAAGCTTTTATGTCACTATGTTTTTTCCTCTATCATGTATTAAACACATTTATATCAGACGATTATTTTTGTAATAAAAAAAGTTGTTGCTCATAAATCAAATGTTTAGCAGATATAGTTCAGTTTGGGAGTAATATGCAGGAAGCCTGGACATGTTATTGTTGAAAAGCATGGTCTTTTCCACTTTCAAATTCACAACATCGAGTATTACATTCTAATCCGTTGTGGGCAAAACTTAAACATTCAAGGGATTGGCTAAATTGTTTATTTTGACGTATTTTCTCATAGAAAACATGATGACTGACAATAGGATGTTTAAAAATGACTGAAATACTTAATTTGAGTCTTTTGGATATACAGTAAATCAGAATTGTGCCTGTCCGGCTCAATCAGTCGTGCATGTGTGATTCAAGGGAACAGGTGTCACGACAGCCAGCCACATCCACATGTGCATTGTTGAATTTGAAATTGAACGTCATCGAGGAGACAGGATAACAGTCTGTCATTAAGTCAAGCACTAAGGTGAGTAACACATCAATGTTGATGTTAACTGAACGCCCTTACCGACGTGTAACGGCATTGTACTGGCACGGAAAGCCATGTCATCCGCTTGGAAATTGGGCGCTCGCAAAACCGTAACCCAGACTTTGAAAGAAGACGAGCAGACAATCTCAGCAGACACGATATGACAGCCATTGCGAAGGTTTAACAGATAAGTCAGCGTGTAGGTTTTATGTTTTTAACTCAACATCTCTACCAGCAACGTAGACCGTAACCATGTTGTTTAACACAAATATACATTGTATTTCAGCCAGGAATATTACTGTTAAATTGATAAAACAACCATGCTGAATGGTTGTACATTTAGGACCACCGCACGTGTAATGATTTCCTAAACAAAGCCGGCTGTTGATGACGTAGTTACCACTGCCAGACCAAAATAATCAAACCCCGAAGAGCGCTGCTACCCACTGTAATCGTAAACCGATCATGATTGTTTCGTTAATCTACTGTCATGCCTTGAATTCCAAAAGTGTACGGAAGTACCGCACATCTATTGTGGATGTTAACAGTGGAGCCCAAAATCCGTGATGGTTTCTGCCTTGTTTTTGTGAAATGTAAAAGCTTTGTTTTTGTATTACAAAATTGCTACCGCTAAACTGTGAAATTCTACTTTCAGTTATTTATAAAAAAAAAAAAAAAAGATTGATTTACGTCCACAGCTTCAAAGATACAATGGAGAGGGACTACTCCGCTACTCCAGAGGAGACCGAGCCGGCTTTGCCTTCGAGGGATAAAACTACTGAAGACACCTGCGCAGATAATTCCCACACCTCCCGGACTGGGACCTGTGGTGCTACAGACGTCGCAAAGGCAAGGTGGACTCTCCTGAGACAGGTAATGCCAGCCTCATCGAGGGGAACACACCTCCATAGGTACAATTGGCAAACATCTGATCATAATGTGTAGCATTAAACATGTTTCTGGACATGGAATTGTGGGTTTTCTCTTGTTTAGAATTACTGCTCGTCTTAACTGTGTGTAATAAAAGGGGTGATGGGAACATATTTTATCTCCTTACATAACTTTGTCTACGAAAAAAATCCCTGAACTGAAACTGTCCTGTGATGTTTATATAGTAGTTACTTGTACTCAAAGCCAATTCATATTGTTGCAGCGTTTTAACTATTTAAGTTGTCATTAAAAAAAAAAAACACTCGTATTTGCTTTGAAATGCCACAGCCCTACAACATTAAATCTTCAGCTTATGTATTTCTATCAACAAGTATTTGTTTTACATGTAAGTAAGTGCTGCCATCTGCACAGTAATCTTTTCAACAGTTGGGATCTTTCTCTCTGTTCTGGTCACAGAATCTGTCTAGCTGTGCACAAGCACCGTGCACAAGCACCGTGCACACACCAGAGTTGCAGCTGTTCAAGCAGGGCTTGGACTTTTTCCCCATAGATGGGCATTACACAGACGTTACACTCTGCTGACAACATTTCTTGCTGCCCTTATTGCAGTCTTTATCTTTTCCCTTCTTGGGCATAAAGAAAGATAGATAGATAGATAGATAGATGTATATGTTTTTTTTTTTTTAAATAGACATACAGTAACATTTGTGCTGTAACATTTAGCCTTGCACAAGTCCCAGATGCACTGCTCTTAGTGTTTGTAGCAAAGTTTTAATTTAAAACACCTGTCTTGGAAGTTACATATAGAAATCAGTAAAAAATAATACCATAACATACAGAACAGTGACGAATACAGTGAAGTTATAAATGCAAAACAGATAAAATGCAGATACATAAAGAAGCCTATATTCATAGACTACATGTGAGCTTATGTTTTACATGTGGGAACGATGTTATTTCTCCTTCAGTCATGATCTCCTTTATTTAAAAAAGATTAATCTCAGGGTGTAGACCATTCCACAAATTGTTGCTCCTATCATATAGAAGGCTGATTGTCCAAATGAGGTTTTATGCTTTGGAATGCAACAGCTTCTGTTCTACTGAAACCTGTGTGTTGATCCTGACGTCTTGTTAGAAATTCATCAAACAGAAAAGGGGCTAGATCATGCAAACATTTAAAAAATAATTTCACATTCCAGTAGCCAATGAAGCTTTCAAAGCGAAACATATTATGTTTCTCTAATACACAACAATGGTGCCATCTTATAGTATTTTTGTCCATGTTTAGTATTGTCTGGTTATAAGATATTATCGGTTTTAAAGTTGTTTGTGAGGCTTGGGTCCAAGAAGTAATTTAGTACATTTATGGGTGATAGGATCATATCATGCATGTAGAGCTGGGCTGTGCTAAATGAAATATACTTTTGGATGATTCTGAATCAGTTGAAATCGGATTTCACTTTTTTGCATATGGAATTCACTTGTTTTTCGTATCGCAGGTGTGAGTCCAGAAAGATTCCTAAGTACTTGACATCTTCGACCACATTGATGGTCTCATTATTTATTTAAAAAAAAAAATTCTATGTCACATTTTTTATGCATAGAAAAAGATATGGAGACAGCTTTTTTTTTACTGTCCAGCGTTAAATGAGAAGAATCAAGCCATTGTGAAACAGAGTGCATGAGTTTTGCTGGTCAGTGGCTATCCTAGCTAATCTCACAGATATGTAGATTACTATATCGTCAACATACATTTGGTTGCAAACTGCAGGAAAGATCTCAGGTAGGCCGTTGATAAATATTAATAAATAGCAGTGGACCTAGTGCTGACCTTTGGGGTATCCCAATGCTGTTGGTGGGGAAGGTGGACTTTTGCCCATTCATTCTGACACATTGCACTCTTCCACTAGGTTTGCGTCAAACCACTGTGAAGACATTTGTTATTTTTTAAAGTCTAGAAGACTGCTCCCAAAACATGACCCCCATCCGAAAAGCGTGACATTTTTTCACCTAACGGTTGTTGATGAAGTAAGTGGTTTGTCTCAAGATTTTATATCTTAGACACGACTAGAAGAATGGAAATGGTTCTATGTTAAGTCTGACTCTCCAGATTTGTGACAGATGATAGCTGTTTTCATCCATCCAGCCAGCCAGCCATCTATCTATCTATCTATCTATCTATCTATCTATCTATCTATCTATCTACCTATCTATCTATCTATTCAATCATTGGTTTAAGTAAAAGTAGTATGGCAGTAGTTTAGTTATTCCGTCTTCTCGTTGCATTAAGTTAAAAACCAAAACCGGCCCTGAAAACTGTATTTCCCCCAATTGTATATCATAATCTTACTGGATGACCTTTTGTCTTTTGGACTGAAACCTAAAACTACTAATGAAGGAAACAAGCCTGATTAATTCTACAAAGAGTTTTCAGCTAGTGAGATGGTTTACTGTTTAAAGAGGACATATTAGAGCCCTTTTCTACCTTTTTTTTAAAACATCTGTGCTGTGATTTGGTCAAAACATAACATGAATCAAGCACCAGAAGGAGGTTTGCGACCCTGTATAAACCGGCTCTCTCAGAATGCTCCGTTTTGGTGTGTGTCTCTTTAAATGCAATGAGCCCCCCCTGAGTTTTCCTAGAACACATCACTCCTCTGTAGTGAGAATAAAAATGCCAGACCTGTACAATAGTTTTGTTCTAGGTTGGGGGTGGAGTCCATGGGTGGAGGTATCAGGGGAGGGGAGGGGATTTTTTTTGTATGAGAATCTTGTGATGACACAAGTTGAGCAAATTTGAAACTGAGCCCTTTTCTCTGTTTTGTAAGACTTATGCAGACCACAAACGAAGGACTGGATGGGTTTATTTCACATTTTGTGGGTCGGAGGTCACTCAGGTTACACAAATATATGTTCAAAAACACTGTACAAGTGGATTTTTAACAATATGTCCCCTTTAAGGGATGTGCTAATTTTTTGAAACTAATGTTTATTAATTCCCCTGTACTTCCTCTCCCATCATTCACAGGTGCTGCGACAGAAGCAGATAGAGAGTCCAGAAGTCAAACAGGTGTCTGTTCGCAGATTCGCATCGTTTGATCTTTTCAGCAGGAAAACACTTTCTACACAAGATCCTAGTGATACCTCAGGTGACCAGTGGGTGGAGTACAGAAGTGTCCACTTTCCTGAGTACAGTGCCCTTCTCAGGTACATACAAATGAACAAACGCACATAAGGCTCCAGTCTCATATAGCCACAGACATAAGCAGGAATGGGACAACATATCAATAAGGCAATATACTGCAGTCTTGACTTATCCTACCATTAGACTTAGACTTAGAATACCATTATCCAATAGCTGGTTTAAATTGATACAGTGCCCTAAACAGAATTACCTGGCAATTTGACTCACCTTGTCCACCACTTCGTGACTTCTCACGTTGGTGCTTGTGACATAAATGAGAGTAACATGTATGCCAGTTAATTCACAGAAGACAAAGTTGACAGTTGGATAATATCGGACAGCAGTGAAAAGAAGTTAAGAGATGAAGCGTAATACCAAATTATAGTAAATGAATACATTAATCCAAAGCCTAACTGTTCCTCTCTAAAACTCTTTAGGGTCAACTTTTGAGACTTGTCAAGACATGACTCATCGAATCTGTGTTTCCTTTTGATACTTTTTTTATTTCCATTTAAGATTTTAAACTTGTTTTGCTGCCTGTAAAAAAGGAAACAGTATAGTACTTATACATCCTTCCTTAAAGTATACTGTACATCATTTTGTGTCTTCTAGGGATTACCTGGGGCCTCTTAGAGTTAATGAAGTGCTCAACAGTTTTGACAACACCGGTAATGTCTGTAAGTACAACCTTTATTGTTCTGCTTGAAAACATTGTATTTATGAGATGTTTGTTTGTGTACAGTATTTGTGTGTCTGTACAAGCGATTATGTTCTGTTTGGTGAAAAGTTAGTTTCACCTGTACAACTCCCTGGCTTTTATCTTTACACACACAATCGCACACTCACTAACGCACCAACTTTAGGTTAGCCTCATGCTGTGTGCTGTTAGCGTTTGATTGACGGTTTGATGGAGGCGCTTTGATTCCATCTCTCAGAATGTTTTTTTTTTTTTTCTCCTTTGTGGCTTCTGCAGTGGTTTATCATGTACTCATTCCTCCCAACTACCTTCATATGTCCTCTAGAAGCAAAGTGGGCTGCAGTCTTCTTATTGCTTCAGTCGACAGTGATGAGTGGTTTGGGAGAAAGGAAAGAGCATGTCTCAAGCAGGGATGTGCACATGCTCTATGATATGAACAAGAACGGCATCACGGGAAGCTCAAGTGCCTTGACTTAACCTTCATACTCAGAAGTTTCTTAAAGGATTTAAGTTTGACTACGTTTACTTTTTTGCTTTTCTTCATGTCTTTGAGTGATATAAATCCTGTCCTGTTTTAAATTGGCATGCAGTGAATGTTAAAATAAGTGATGTCGACTACATACAATTTTTTATTTGATGATCCAGGAAAGTATCTTTTTAATAAGAAAAATTACCCTATTTTGGAAAAAAAAATGGCATGTTTAAATTATAACTATATCTATGGATGTATCTGTTGAACATTGGCCATTTGCAAAAAAATGTGACATGCACTGATGTCAGTAGCGGATGTGTAGCTGTTGTGTCGCATCAGTTCAGTGCTGGCAAGCTAGTATATTTTACTGCTGATTCAGAGAAGATTGTTTTATTGGGCAGAAGTCACCTGTTGGACAAGCTCAATTTTGTTATCATGGTCAAACATGAAAGAAAATGTCAGGAGTCTTGCACTGTTTTAGGGAAAGATCAGCGACACCCTGCAATCCGCTGAATTATTTTTTTTAAACATTTCTGCGGATATTGGCCCCAATTTTCACTATTGGAGCATCACTATTTAACACAGCCTTATTGTTGAACTGACTGAAAATAGTTCATTTACAATGCTATAACATTGGTCCAAAAAAACAACACATGTTTTTTACAAAAAAGGTTTTTTTTTATGAGTTCCCAGATTTTCCACTGACAAAAGTGGGGATATGTAACCACTGTTAAGTCATTGTGTGCCTCTTTCCATGCATGTCCACCTTCACAGGCATGTGATGGGGTATGACAAAGGTCAGAGGTTTTAGTTAACCAGCCAGATGGCTCTGCAGGAGTCAGGGTCAAAGGTGAAGGTCATGGCTGGAGGCTACTTCACTGCACACTGGGAACTGACTATATAAGTCCTGACAAGGCTCAGCGGCAGCTCTCATTCCAATTTGCTAGAATGGATAACCTCTTTATCTACAAGTAGGCAATGGGATCAATATTTTTTTATTTGGAGGGAGAAAAACAAATAAGACATTATTTTTTTTGCCTTTGGGCATTGAAACAGGTTTCTCTGTGTTCTTTTGGGATTTAAGGATACATCATTTCCTCTGATCTTCTGTCTCATCTTTCTTGGCATACAAAAGAATTCCTCTTTCAAAAAACTGATATCCCTTTTCCTCAATCTACCCCTCTACTTTTCTTCTCTTTTGTCCCTCCACACCTCAATCCCTCTCTCCTCCCAGCTGGAGTCATGCTCGGCCAGATGGGTAGCTGAGTTCCTGACTCTGCCGGTGGATTAGCACAGCCGGAGATGAGAAGGGGCGAGGAGAGAAGGGGAGATGGTGGGTGGGAATGCCAGAGGTGAAGTGTGTGTGTGTGAGCCACTAGCAATGGGACCTCGGTCCTCAGACAATGAGCCAGCCATCTCCCTCCTGTTCTCCATCCCATGTTTGGGACTAGTAATGCGTGAGATCAATTAGGATTGGTTGAGAGGAGGATCTGAAAGGCGCAGAGGTGACCCTGTCAGAGCTCTGGGGTATATTTTTGGGGGTGGGAGTCAGTGAAAAAAAAAAAAAACCCTCTAAAAACACAAACACACACATACCTGCTCATATGTGATCCTCACAAAGATACACAGCCACACAAAAACCTCTGCACAGTCTTGCTAATAAGCACATATTCAGTTCACTCAGCATCACACCCTCTCCTCAGTTCCTGCTATCTTGATAATCCTCCACCCCTGAGGTGTGGACAAGCCCAAATCCTAGGGGTCCTTGTCCCCCTGAATAGCAGGCTAAAAAGCCTGGTCGGATTAGCCCAACGCCTCCAAAATGTGTGGACTCAGCTTAAAATTGCTACCCCCTCTCAGCATGACCCTTTCTGCCAGCTATTGTGGCTGTCCCTCCACTGTGCGTGTATGTGAACAATATGTTGTTTCTTAAGGTGACGTTAAGCTAGAGTCAATGGTTTCATTTCAACATAAGAGGTGCAGAAAGCACTCCTAATGAAGATGTTTAAAAAAAAAAAAATAGAGTATCTGAGAGATCATGTCTCTGAGTAGACTCAGACAATGTCTTCTTTAATAGCTGGGATCTTTGCTTTATTTTGTAACGATTTTATCTCTTCTGAGGAAAAGTTCAAGCCCAAATGAAAAAAAATCTGTTACTTAATTGGGAATTTAATTTTGATTTTCAGCCTATTGGACCACATTTTACCCTTCAGTATTGTAACAAAGGGTTTGCTCTCAAAATAAATTACCTAAATGGGCTCAGTTAGGCTGACGATTTCAAATGGAGACTTACGAATGAATTTTAGTTCTTATTAGTTGGGGTATGTGGGTTTTTTTTCTCAGGGTTTTTAATTGGTGCCAATAGTGGATGAGAAATATACAATTATACTTTCACCTCTGATCACATTGTACTTCATAATCAGAAAGAGGGAACGTATGCTGGTTAAATTATATAATATTTTGAAAACTATATAAAACATTATAGAATAACCCTTCATGAAATGTACCCTCAAAACTGGTTTGTTAGGGCGCCGTGCGTGCGTGCGCCCAATATACGGAGGCTGTAGTCCTCTAAGCGGACGGCCCCGGTTTGAATCCAGCCTGTGGCTCCTTTCCCGCTTCTCATTCCCCACACTCGCTGCTTTCAGACTCTATCTACTCTCCTATCTCTAAAATAAAGGCATTAAATGCCCAAACCTATATCTTTGGTTTGATTAAGCATCATGCTAATTCTGGTGTTGTCCATATTCCATAGTTCAGTTATTGTCTTAAATAAATACCTCAAACTGAGGACATTTTTATATATTGGGAATACATTTTGACGGCTGTAGCTTAGTCTGTTGGGACTTTGGTTCAAGTGCAGACCAAATCTAGAAAGTGGGCTGGTAGCTGGTGAGGTGTCCTGAGCACTGCCAAGGTGCCCTTGAGCATGGCACCAAACCTCCAACTGCTCATTTGTGTGCAGCCCCTAACTCTGACATCTCTCCATTAGTGCATGTCTATAGGATCCTGTGTGAAATGTATTTGTATTTCGGCCTATATGTGTGTAGAATGTTCCACACAGGAGTTAAAATATTCAATATCCCCTCTGGGATTCTTCTTCTAGAAATACATCGGTCAGATGACTATAGATACTCACCTATGTTTGCATTTACCGGTAATAAGATATTCACATACAGAGAAGCCGCTCTGTACTCATGGGACTTCAGGTACATGTTGTTATTGTTAAGTGTTTCCCTATTCAGCCCTATTTCAAACTGCTCTTGCTCAATCAGAAGAATTATTTGAACCCTGAACTTCCGACCTTCCTGCTTCTATAGCTGACAGTGGGGGCTTGTAATTGTAAGAGAGCTTTTGTAGCGCGGTTGTTTGGGATTTTAGGGGTACTTGTTTCCTGCTAGGGATCAGGATTTTAGGACACAATACAGGCCCTTGGGGTTTGGTAAGAATGCATGTGAAGGTGTGTGTGTTGTGTGTGTGTGTGTGTGTGTGTGTGTGTGTGTGTGTGTGTGTGTGTGTGTGTGTGTGTGTGTGTGTGTGTGTGTGTGTGTGTGTCTGTGTGTGAGAGTTAAAGAGGGTTTAGGTGGAGCTTGTTGACATTGCAGGGCTTTTGGTAAGAGGTGCTTGTTGGGCTGTGGGGCTACTTGTTGGGTTCGTGTTGCAGGGAAAGGTCACGCTGACAGTCACACAGACACAGTATGCATGTACAAACAGGAACAAATAATCTTTGGTACATGTTTTTGTGTTTTGAGTCCTACCCTGGAATCCATTGATGCAGTTAAGCCCAGATTAAACTGGAGCAAGGCTTTCCCCGTCTGCTTGCATCTTTGTGAGCGTGTAATCAAGGGCCAAGCGTCCTAATGAAGCCTAATAGAGCCTTCTCTACTACAGCTGTCATTGTCTGAATGGCTACTAGCCTTTCAGCTTCTCAGTCATCCCTATTATCTCCCACCGACTTCACCTATCACCCCCGCTGGTAAATACTATAAGCCCAGAATGTATGAGTGTTGTGAGGGAGAGCTGGGATGCAGGGGGGATAGTTAGCCGGTCATTTTTGTGGTGTTCCTGGTGCTTGCTTTGATATGATGACTGATTGTGACAGGAGGATGCTTGCGAAAAGGAGAGAGGATAAATGTCTGCTTAAGTATCATATTCATGTCTAAACTAGACACATTAGTACCCTCTCAAATAGGCAAAACTGTCCAAAAAAGCCCTGAAATCATATGACTTTCGATGAAAACGTTAGCCTGTTGTGTACGTTTTCTGTATCCACTGGATCTGTCACATTCATGTTTGCGTGTTAAATGTGTTGTACTGCAGTCTAAGTGTTCTTAGTGACCGTGTTTGTGTGTGTGTGTGTGTGTGTGTGTGTGTGCGTGCGTGCACATATGAGCATGTCTGTGTGTCTATGTGTGTTGTAATAGGTGCCCCCCGTAGCCTCCCCTTGTGCTAAGCCTTTAGCGGAGCCCTGTTTGCATAATTATGCTAATTCATCGTGCCATAGTGCT